TTATAACTCTCAGGGAGGAGATGCTGGGGCAGAACGGTTACAAAAATCTAGGATTCTGAAGAAGCTGCTTGTAATACCCCAAAAATTTTTAGAATAAATAAGTGAGTTAAGGATTAAATTATGAGGAAAATATTATTTTGGGATTAATAGCTAAAATGTCCAAAGTTGAGGGACTTAAAAGAGAGAAAATTTTGGATAAAGATCGGCTGGCATTTTTTTCTTCTTTCTTTCTTCTTCAGCCCGATTCTGCTCTTCTTTTCTTCCCCTGCACTGAGCAAAAAAAAGACCAAGCAAGCCGACAACCCCACTTGGAAAAAAATCGGTAAAAGCTTGGTTTTTGCCTTCTTTTCTTGTTCAAGAACCAGATTTGGAGCCTTGAAATCTTCCCGCTTGCAGGAAAGCTTCCGGATCTGCTCTGCTCTGCTCCTCACCGCCGGCTGCTCCTGCTTTGTGGGGGCGAATTGCTTTGATTTTTTGGTAAGAAACAGCCATGATTTCATCCTTTTAGCTTTGATTTAAGTTGGGTTTACCTTAATTTCTCTTGGTTTCCCAATTTCCAGTGGATTTCTTGATTTTTCTCCCCAAATTCCCGCCGGCTTCTTCCCCTGCCAGGTCCGGCCTTGCTTGCTGGAAAATTCTGGTATGTTGACAGCCCTCCAAGCCCCGAATTTGTCCATTTATTTGCTGCCTTGTGTGTTCGAAATTCTGCAGAAAATGGGGATGAATTTCGGTAGCTTTAGGACAAAATTAAGTATTGATTTAAGTAAAATTTATGTGTTTGAGTGTTAATTAGGCTACTGTGATTGTTTGGAGAGAAAATCCCGTGAATTAGCTAGTGTTTTGGCCAATTTTTTGAAATGCAGTGACTATTCACGCGTACCAGTTACTGTTCACGCAGAAAATTCTGCAATTTGCTACTGTTTTCTGCTCCTTTTCAGTCTGTTTCTGCTCTGAAAAATCTGATGAAATATCCATTTTTCTGGTCTTTTAGCTGGCTGTAGTTGAATTCCAGAAATATCAGTTACTGTTTACGGGTACTGTTCACAAATACTGTTTGCGCACTGATAGCCAACAATTAACGGGGATTGAATGTTTAGTTTGTGATATAAGAACAAATGTGGAGATTGATAGGAATAGCATCGTGATTAGGGGTAGTCCTAATGAAGTTTCACTTTGAACTTGTGATAGTATAGAATTAATTCTTGGATATTTTGATTAGGTTCCCGATTGTTCTATCAGTTAGCACTGAGATCGAGTCTTCGGTTTTATGCGAGTGAGGTAAGTAAATTTATGGTAATGCCCGTATAATTTTTAAAAGTATGTTTTGACTTGTTTTTGAAGTGGTGGCGGGGCTAAACTCGTTTTATGCAAAAGCAAGTATGATTGATTTGAAGTGAAATTATTTTGTTTTTCATTGAATTGAGCATGCCTACTTGAAGTTTATTTAACTGCCCTGATGATCTGAAAGTGATTGGTGAATTATGATTTTTCTGTTAACTTCTGCCTGTTTTGTCTCCGATATGGTCATGTTATTAGTGACCCCGCTAGTGGGGGTTAAACGCTAGCATATGTCGACATGTTAGTGATAGAGCCGGTTCGTACGAGTGACCTTGCTAGTGGGGATTATACACTAGTAAATTGTGTGCCTGCCAGTGGGAGGTTTATAACACTGGCCGTGACCTATGGAGGAGACGTCTATTTCGTTCCCGTACTGTATCCGTTTTTCGTGCTTACACTTGTTGGCATACTATAAGTTTAATAAGGGGCACTTCACATTTTACTTACTGAGTTTATCTCATAGTTTTTTCTTGTCTACCATTTCAGGAAGCGAAGTCAAGGATGGGGAAAAACCATGGGAAGTGACGAGTTAGAAGGCTAGCCATTTCGAGATTGATATAGATTTTAGAAATAAATCATGATCTTGTAAACTCGACTTTATTGGAGATTTATGATATTAGAGTAAATTATAAAATTTGATCTTCAGTTTTTGATGGTATCAGGTTGTGGTATGATAAGTTCCGAGCCTCGTGCATTTGTGGGACCCTCTCACGAGTACACGGCGTCTGCCACGTCCCCGGATTCAGGTTCTGGGGCGTGACACTGCTCAAAGAGCAGGATGCTGCTGGAAGAATATGCGGAGCAGTTTGCTCTTCTCCAGCAGTCCTGCATAAACATGGTGTCCTAAAGGTATGTTTAATAAATCATTGTCTTCTTGTTTCTAATAGTTAAAACTGGTGTGTTTAATAAATCGTTGTCTTCTTGTTTCTAAAAGTTAAAACTATCATATTCATAATATTCAAGTTCCTAATATATATATTTTTTATCAGCAACAAATTCCTAATATATTATTGAAATTCCTTTGTCAATTATAGGAGAAGAGAGCTTCTGCACATCCATCTGCCGCAAGCAAGCTCACCAACGTAGTGGATGATGCAAACTTAGTTGTTGATGGTAAACTAATTACAAGCAGGGGGCTTGGTACCATAACAGATTTTGCATTGGCTATTGTAAGCAAACTTTTTGGTGATGCAAGGGCAAGAAGTGTTGC